AGCAGGTCTTGAGCCGCTCGGCTCCTCTGCTCGGGTCCATCCTCTCCCCAGCCAGCGCGCGTGGAGCTGGCTGAGCTCTGAACTATGGATGCTGCCCAAGTGCAAAGTGTAATTACAATTTAGCCTTTCATTTGCTGACACCATTTGCTTTGGTTACTTGCACATTTTCACATATGATGATAGGAGCAGCTATTTATCAGTACGAAAGTGTGGCCGGAGCCAAGGAAGGGCTAAGCCAGCTGTTGTACGGCCCTTCAGTTTTAAAAATAGCTTTTATTCACTTCTCTGTTAACTCTTCCCCTTGGGTTCCTGAAGATGCTTTAGCTCCCGAGAGCTGCTAAGGCTGATGATGAATGGGAAATGGTAATTTTGCACATTGGGATACTGAGCAGAAGCTGCTTTTAGTAGCTCCAGGCACCTCATTAATTAAATCACCGGACTCCGCAGGGCATCCCTCTGGTGCTGCTGTGTGCCGATGGGCAAAGCAAAGCAACCACCGCCTGCCCGAAAACCCAGCTCATGAGATGCAGAGGCTGCAGCGCGTAGCTGGGAAGCTGCTTGTAAAATCCTTCTTCCCCAGGCGGGTTTTTAATTGGCTAGCTGTGTTTTGGTTAGCTCTGCTTCTCTAGGATTAGATGTGAGTAACTGGGATTGGGAAAAAAAATTATATATGCGTTTTTTTTTTTCTTTTTTTTTTTTTAATGCATAGCCAATTTTAAAGCACATAGGATTTGACACCCATGGTAATACCTGTCCTTCCAGAGAGTGGCTGGTTGCACCAGTGCAAGGGCTGTCCTCTCTCTGTGGTGCCTCTTGCTCAGGGCTGTTCCTTGTTTTCTAAATATTTGGGGTGGGGGGGAATGACACACAACCCAACCCTCAAAATATGGACTTGCTGGCCTTGGAGGGGTGGGATGGGTCATGGTCCTGTGGACCTGCAAAGTAGGGTACTACAGAGAGAGATGAGCTTCAAAAGCATGCCCTTGGTTCATATGCAAAGCCCTCCATTTTTAGGCAATTAAAAGGAGAATATAAGTAGTATGCTTCTAGTCATTTCCCTCTGTAAATGAAAACTTCTGCTTTTGGCTGTGAGTGAGCACTTAAAGTGTGCTCAAAGTGGCAAAACTTGATGGGAATTTAAAAAAAACCCACATGTATATTTTTATACCTGTCTACCTACAATCTCAAAAAAACCCCCACGCTAAAAATTTCACACAACTCAGATAATAATCTACAATACAATCTCAAGCAACACGTATGCACATGTATAATAGAAAGTATATTTTATACCATATGGGGCGGGGAGGCGGCATGCCCATGGCTGGGTGCTGGTCCCTGATGCCACCCCCCCCATGCCCATGTCTGTGTTGCAGCACCTACGGAGAGCTGACGAACTGCACGGCGCTGATCGCCGAGAGGCTCGACTGCTACTGGCCCAACCGGCTGGTGGACGAGTTCTTCGTGGCCGTCCACAAGCAGTACTTCAGGAACTGCTCCCCCTCCGGCCGGGCGCTACACGACCCCCCCAATGGCATCCTCTGCCCCTTCATCCTGCTGCCCGTCCTCGTCACCCTGCTGATGACTGCGCTGGTGGTGTGGAGGAGCAAACGCAGCGAGGGCATCGTGTAGGGGCGCCGT